TGATATCTTTTCCAGAATCTTCCCAGGTATTGAGGTCAGGCTGATAGGTCTGTAATTTTCTGGATCCATTTTTTTCCTTTTTTGAAGATGGGAACTACATCAGCTCTTTTCCAGTCCTCTGGTAGTTCCCCAATGTTCCAGGATCTTTGAAAAATATAGTTCAGTGGTTCTGAGATCACATCTGCCAGTTCCTTGAGAAAGTTGGGGTGTAATCCATCTGGTCCTAGTGATTTGAACACGTCTAGGCTGGATAGGTGCTCACTTACCATTTTTTTGCCTATCTTAACTTGTGTTTCTAATCTATTTTTTATGGTACTGTTTTTGATAGGTTGGACTATTTTTTCCCTTTGTATAAAGAAAATGATAAATAATTTAGTAAATGAAAAAGGTTGCCTACAATTTAAAAATGAAGAAATAAAAAAGATAATTAAAGAATATTACAAGAAAATGTAAGACATAGAAGAAATTTCAAGAGAAAGAATGATCCAATATTTGGAAGAAAATAACCTTCCAAAAATTTCAGAAACCTGTAAGATTATGCTAGAGGAAAAAATAACAATGATAGAAATAACAGAGGTCATAAGAAGACAAAAAAACAAGAAAACGCCAGGGCCAGATGGACTACCGGCGGAGTTATATAAAGCTTTACAAGATATACTAAATGAACCACTGAAAGACGTTTGCAATGAACTTTTATTGGAGGCTAAACTCCCAAATACATGGATAGAAGCAAATATTACCTTAATACCAAAAGAATACTCAGATTTGACACAGATAAAAAATTATAGACCGATATCGTTACTAAATGTGGATTATAAAATTTTTACTTCAATAATGGCAGAGAGTGTGAAAAGATACTTAACTGAATTCATACATTCAGACCAAAATGGTTTTTTGCCAAAGAGACAAATTAAAAACAATTTAAGAGTGATATGATGTATTAGACTATTATGAATTACACCCAGGGAAACAACTGGCACTAATATTTCTAGATGCCCAAAAGGCATTTGATAATGTTTCCTGGTAATTTATGATTCAGCAATTACAAATAATGGACTTTGGACAGAACTTTACAAACATGATAAAAACAATAGACCAGGGCTTATCAACCAGTAGTACGGGTACCACCTGTGGTACATTGGCACCTGGCAGGTGGTACGCAACCATCCTAGAAAAGTGGCAGCAGGAGAGGGGAATGAGCTGAACCTGTGGCAGCATCGCACAAGCCTGAGCGAGAGATGGCTGGAGCTGCAGGGCTGTCAGGACTCAGCGGAAGCGCCAGGATTAGTATCGCTTTCGAGATGATCGCCGCTTCTTCGAGGCTGTCAGGGCTCAGCGGAAGTGCCAGGATCAGCGCCAGGCTCCAGCTGGAGCTTGGCGCTGATCCTGATGCTTCTGCTGAGCCCTGAAGAAGCACCAATCAGCTGGAAAGTGGCACTGATCCTGGTGCTTCTGCTGAGCTCAGAAGAAGCACCAATCAGCTGGAAAGTGGCACTGATCCTGGTGCTTTTGCTGAGCCGAGAAGAAGCGCCAATCAGCTGGAATGTTGCAGCATCTCCAGGGTCTTGTGATTTACATTCAGATGCTTGGCAACTGATTCATATTTATGATGGTCACAGTGTCCCAGAGTCATGTGAAGTGGCCAAAACCTGCTGCAATCACCCAGCAGATGGGGGGAATAAAAACCAAATACCCCCCCACCCCCCCCTGCCAATCCTCAACAGAAATGCTCACAACAATGAAAACCTCAGACAGGAGGAAGAGTGCCGCCGGGTGGGCATGCAGGTGTCTTGCTCAGCTGTGGCTTGGGGGGCACTTTTTTCAGTGCCATTGTAACTTCAAAGAGTCACTAAGCGAACTGTTGTAAGTCGAGGACTACCTGTACTTTATCACTTTTTTCCTTTTTTGGGGGGGTCATCAAGTGTTTGATACCTTGCTAGGTGACTGGTGGTACTCGGATGTTGCCATATCCTAAGAGTGGTACAATAGGTGAAAAGGTTGAAAAGCCCTACAATAGGCAATAGACAAACAGCGAAAGTGATTGTGAATGGAAACTATACTGAGAACTTTGAGATAAGAAAAAGTACTAGGCAAGGATGCCCATTATCTCCATTGTTATTTATTTTTACTCTGGAAGTTTTAAATAAAGATATTAGACAAGATATAGAAATTAAAGGGCTAGAAATAAAAGGTGAAACATATAAATTACAAGCATTTGCTGATGATTTGGTATTTATTTTAGAAGAACCTTTGGAGATTATTCCTAAACTATTGGAAAAGATAGAACAATGGGGAGAAATGGCAGGACTGAAAATAAACAGAAAAAAACAAAGTAATAGTTAAAAACCTTACAGATAAACAAAAAAAAACAAATGTTGAAAAAAACAGAATTGCAGATAGTTAAAAAGGTCAAATATCTGGGAATAAATTTAACAGCAAGATGTTCAATGATAAAAGAAGATAATTACACAAAACTATTGAATCAAATAAAACTGGATCTGGAAAAATGGAAAAGCTTGCAATTGTCAATACTAGGAAGAATTGCTACAGTGAAAATGAACATACTACCAAAAATCTTATTCTTATTTCAAACAATACCTATAAAATTTGAGAAAAAATTATTTGAAGACTTAAATTCACTAATTTTGAAATTTATTTGGCAAGGAAAGAAAGCTAGAATTAAGATGAAAATGTCACAAGATACCAAGGAAAATGGAGGACTTGGTCTACTGGAGTCGGTTTTATATTATCAAGCATCTGTATTAACATGAGTAAAAGAATGGATAACTCTTAGAAATAAAAGGCTGTTATATCTGGAGGGGCATGATTTACAACTGGGGTGGCACGCTGTTTTATGGTACGGGAAAAATAAAGTTCATAAATATTTCCAAAATCATTATATAAGAAATGCATTATTAACAACATGGAAAAAAATAAAATGTAAAATATATTTGAAAATTCCAGGGTGGTTGTCAACAATGGAAGCATTTGTACACCCAAATTTAGTGAACTTTGAAAAAATCTGGACATATAGAGATATTCTAAACAGAGTTTCCTTCAATTTAAAATCTAAACAAGAAATGGAAAATCAGGGTATCAATCTATCTAGGTGGGCACATTTACAAATGCAAGTTAGATATGATAAAGATGTTAAACTGTATGGATTTTACAAGGAACAAACTGTTTGATAAGACACTGTTAACTTCTGATGAGAAACTAATTAAGAAAATGTATAATTTTCTATTAACTTTGAAAACGGAAAGTGAACAAGTTAAAGAAACAATGATAAGATGGGCAAAAAAATTTGGATATAACATAGAATTAGAAAAATGGCAAAATTTATGGGAAAGAAATTACAAACTGACAATGTCAATTTCTTACAAAGAAAACTTATATAAAATGTTCTATAGATGGCACTTGCCACCAACAAGATTAGCAAAAATGTTTAAAAACATGTCAGATAGATGCTGGAAATGTAAATATAAGTCAGGCACGTATTATCATGTTTGGTGGACATGTGACAAAGTAAAGAGTTATTGGAAAAAGATACATACCTGGCTAGAAAAAATGTTGGGAAAACATGTAGATTTTAACCCTGAACTTTTTTTATTAGGTATAATGCCAGAAAAGACTAATAAACAAAGCTTATATTTGATTTTGCATGTCATAACAGTGGCAAGAATTATATTTGCGCAATACTGGAAAAATGAAGGAATACCATCAGATGAAGAAATAATCAAAAAAATACTAGAATGTGCAGAGATGGACAGACTGACTATGAGACTGAAAGAAAAAGAAGAAACGGAATATTATCAAACTTGGGACTTATTTTATCAATGGCTAGAGGAAAGAATAAAAGATTAGGATTAGATTAAATATGTATTAGTGAATGTAAACTCAAACAGCACGTTGTCTGAAAAATTATTACTGAATGTATGGAAAAAAAACTAATAGAAACTTTTACAAAAAAAAAAAAAAAACAGTCCTGAGTGAGCCAGTATACTTGACAGCAATCAAAGGCAGAATATCCCAGTAAGTGGTGAGAAGAGCCCAGCAACCTCAGCGAGGTTGGAGAAATTCTTAGTACAAAGAGGGCCAGTCTTCACCCATAGTGGCAGACATTCGCAACCACTCAACAAACTCAGCCTATAGGAAGTGTTGTGACTGGGTCTCATCCAAAATTTCATAATGTTGTTTGCTTAACATGAAAAGGGGAAGATTTTATGGGTGTTATGTTTACCTTATATGCAGCCCTATCATTCATCTCTATTATATTTGTTTCTTGTGTCATATTGCTATTCTATGATTTATCACTACTGTTCCTGTGATGCATTTCCTGTTCCTGTAGTTGTATTCCCTCTCTAAGAAAGATAGCTTTTGCACAGTGAGGCCCTGTATTGTATTTACTGACTCCACATGAAACATTTACCTGATTTCTAAAATTATAGTTACAAAAGAATTGCTAAGGGAAGGGGGAAAATTTCCTCTATAGACCATCTTTATAGACTTCCAACAATGTGGGAGCAAAAAAAAGAGAATAAAATAAAATACCTTATAGGAAAACCAAACCTAATCTCAGTAATTTAACTGTAGCAAAGATTTCTTATAGAGACAAAGATGCACTTGTAAATTGTTTGACCTGTTTACTCAACTGCAAAAAATGTTTAAATGCCATTTAAATATTTTTCTCCAATACTGTTTTTAAAATAATTATTTGCAATGGTTATAATGATTCTAGAACTGATGATGTCATTAAAACAATGTTAAATCTGTAAATAAATGTACACACACAGACAGACACACAGAGACACACAGCATTTCTGACAAGCATGGAAGACAATTCTATTGGTACATTTGAAGTTCACGTATATCCATTTTTATGTGCACTGCCTTGAGCATTTTATTTTAGGCTGGAAGCAGAGAAAGAAAGAAAAAGAAGGAAGGAAGGAAGGAAGGAAGGAAGGAAGGAAACATTTCTGCAGAAGAAACAATTGACTTACCCATCATTAACTATGAGTTTTGATTTCCTACAGGTTTTGGGCACAGTCAATATAGATGACCATGGTTCTTTTTGGCACTGTGTCTTGTTGCAGAACAGAGTATTTTCTGAATTGATATAGATGGCTTTCTGAACAAACAGTAAAATTAATAATCAGGAACTAATCATGAATCCAGCCATCAAAACTAACTGTAAACAAGTTTAGAAGTATTATTACATTACATTGCCAGGGCAGTATTTTTTTATAAATGCAAACAATTACAGTTCAGAACAACAACAAAAACTCACAGCATTTCAGTATGGATATTTTTATTTATTCATAAATCTTCCAATTGTATGTTGAGAAAATAAAGAACCAAATCTATTTGCAGATCTTTCTCCTATATATATCTGTTTCTTACTCAGAGAATACTTTCAGTGAAATCCTATGCTACATACATCTATCAAAAAAAGTGTACCTGAATTCAGTAAAATTTTCTTCTAGATAATACATGCATAAGATGACAATCTGAGCATAATCTTATGAATTTTGGGATACAATTCTATGCAAGATTACAAAGAAGTTTAAGTTTTATTGAACTCAGAGAAGAATAGGATTAATCAGTGAAATATGTGTGGCTTTACAAAATGAGACTTCAATGTAAACATACCCCCATTTGTATATTCTCTACAAGGGTTGAACTACCATTCTTCTATTTTCTAAACTTCATTGTAGATGAAGGGAGCTGAGTTCCACCAGTTAGAGGGTATCAGTTTAGGAAGAGTTCATGGACATATATCTATAAACAATCCTTGTAACCAAGTGACAAGATCAGTCCTATCATTATTTAAAATAGGGCAAGTTCAATATACTGTGTATTTTTCCATATTTAATCAGCCCTCCAAGTTCTAAATTAGGAAAACAGTATTAAACTAAATACCTCTGAAGATACTTTACAAATAAAGGGTTTTTTAAATGTACAGTAGAAGTATAAATCTAATATTAGAAGAGAATGTTTATCAAAAGACAGAGAAAGTGATAGCAAGGAAATACATATTACATTGCCTCAGACAAATTTTCACAAAATCAGTTTTCAATGAACTCTTCTCCAGTTCAGATAGTTGGGATGTCAGTAGAATCAAAAGTTTTCTCACCTGATACTCAAATTCTAAAGGGGGTGGGATGCCAAGAAAGACTTTACAATCTAAATCAGGGGTGGGGGAATGACCTCTGGATTTCACTCCCAGAATTCCTGAGCTAGCCATAGTTCCCCATCCCTGATCTAAATGGATAGGGCTATAAATGAACAAAATGGATTTTTAAACATGTTACTTTAAATACACTGTGATCAGAACTTACACTGAAATCTCCAGGATGTAGATATGATCTAATCTCATTCTTGTGTTTTCTTCTTGAGCTTGTGGAAGACGAAGGGTTGCTACCATTTGTCTTGCTAGAAGTTAAATCATCATTACAGAAATTATACTTTGATGCATCAGAGAAGGGAGAACTAGATGACTGAAGCACTTTCTCATTTTTATTTATTGATGTTGCCAAACTACAAATGGAAATTATAGTAATGGACAGTCAAAACCCTCAAAATGAGGAACATATATTTTTATATTATGATCATTATCAGCTTTAGAATAATTTCATGATGAACTTGGTTAATTATTTTTTTTCTGGAAACAGGTTTTAGCATGAGTACCAAAAGTACAATCTTCAAATATATGGTTAATGTATAATAAAAATACTTATATAGAAATGAAGACTTGCTTTAAAGATTGGTTGGAAAATAAGATGTGGCTTTTAAAAATAAATTTAAGTCGTGGAGCACTGTTTTACAGTTACAAGTGACATTTTATAAAATCACATGGACTAAACAGAAAATATATGTTTACAGAATTTCTCTGCATTTGGTAAACTCAGCACTTAAATAACAATAACTTGAAGAGCTGTGATGGCATAGTGGTTAGAATGCAGTATTGCAAGCTAATTTTGTTGACTGTCTGCAGTTCGATTTTCACTGGCTCAAGGTTGACTCAGTATTTTATCCTTGAGGTTGGTAAAATGAGGACCTAGATTGTTGGGGACAATATGCTGACTCTGTAAACTGCTTAGAAGGGCTGTAAAGCATTATGAAGCGGTATATAAGTCTAAGTGCTATGCTATTGCTATTAATACAGAACCCGAGGAGACAGAAATATATAATAACCTACTTAACATAGACAACAAAAAAAATAAACCAAATCTTCTAATGCCAAATCTGAACTGCAAAAATCTGGATGCCCATGGGATAGAACCAAAGAGATTTTTTTATATTTCTTTGCTATATGTGAATTCTTCTAGTCCAGATCTGATAGTCCTAGTTCTAAGTATTAGGACCATTTTAGGGCAATCTGCAGCCCCTGAGCCCAAATAATCTTCTCAATACATTCCTGTTACAAATTATCTGCTTGTATCTGGCTCTTGCACAGATGATATCTTAAAACAATGTTATTAGGATGCAAGACTTCCGTGAGAGAGGTGGACTCAAGGTACCGAATTTGAAATTATATTATGATGCGGTGGTTTTAACACTAATTAGTGACTGGGTAAATTTGACAAATCTTGAGATACTCCATCTAGAGGGATGGGACTTACTTTATGGGTGGCATGCCTATTTAATATTCAATAAAAAAAGTGGATTGGGCTTTTAAATCTCACATTATAAGAATTTCTTTACTTAGGATTTGGAGAAAATATTATAAAAGTGATTTTAAAGTACCATTATGGGCTATACCCTGGCATGCGATAGAGGGAATAAAAAGAGGTGTTAAAATGGACATGGTGTCTTATAGACAGCTACTCAGATGGGATGGACAAAATTGGCAATTAAAATTACGGGAGGAGCTAGCACAAGAAAATATTATTTATTCTTGGTTTCAATATAGGCAATTAGCAGATAGATGGAAGGTGGATTGTAAGGTGGGCTTTCTTAGAGAAGATGAAAATCTTATTAAGCAAGTGAAGGATCAAAGACAAGCCCATATTAAGAGAATTTATGGGGTGCTAGTCGAATTGGACTCAGAAACGGAATTAATTAAAGATTGTATGATTAGATGGGCCCAAAACTTTGGTGAACCAGTCCCATTGGATACATGGGAAACCATTTGGGTAAGAAATGTCAAATTTACACAGGCACAGAATTTAAGGGAGAATTTTTATAAAATGTTTTATAGATGGCACCTTGACCCACAAAAAATGTCTTTCATGTACCCGGACTTACAGCCTAAATGTTGGAGATGTGGTTGCTTGGATGCCACCTATTACCACATTTGGTGGTCGTGCAGAGAGATAAAAGCATTTTGGATTAAGATATGGTGGAATATTCAGAGAATTTTCAGAAGGAGGGTAAAATTTACTCCGCAGTTATTTTTGTTGGGTATAGTTACTGATTGTGATACAAAGGAGGTTATATTGATGTTAAATTTGATTACAGCCGCAAGGCTGTTAGTAGGACAATATTGGAAGAAGGAATCCTTGCCTACACTGCAGGAATGGTTTTTCAAAGTGTCTTATCTGGCGGAAATGGCAAAGATTTCGGCTTTTTTAAAGGAACAAACGCAAGAGAAATTTCTTGCTGTTTGGGATAAATGGATAGAATTTATACAATTTAAATTGGATATAAAAAAATATCATATTGCTTTTTCATAATTTTTATTTATATATATATATATTTCAGTCTTAATTTTTTTTTCTTTTTTATATATAATTTTTTTTAATTCCTTTTTAATTAAGCCTATATTCTGCTCTGGGAAGCTCAGGGGGGGGAAGGGGGGTGTTTTGGGGGGGATGGGGAAGGGGATGTTATGTTTAGTTTTTTGTATATGTTGTTTTTTGTTTTTGAATCGTTGTATTTTTTTTCTGTTTTTTTGTAAAATTTATAAAAATTTTCAATAAAAAAAACAATGTTATTAGGTTTAAAGAACAAAATTCAATATATAAAGTGGTGTACAGATACAGTAGAAAGAAGGGTGGGATTGCAAGGACAAAAAAGTATAGAGAAGTCTAGGGAATAAGGTTGATGTAAACTAAATTCAGTTATATTGCCTTTTCTTTAATTTGTGTTATTTATTTCTTTGGCTATTTTTTTAATTCCTTTTTTGTGCTTTGCTTAATGTTGTTTAGACTGAAAGGGAAGAGCAAGATCAGTATGTATAAAGTAATGACAAATAATTTATGTAAAAAGCAAATAATAGTCCAAGATAGTGGCTAAATAATTCACTTATACTTATTTTTAATGTTGGTTATGGCTTTTCTTTATGATTTTTTATAATTGTTTCAGACAATTTTGCAGACAGCAAACTTTAGACTACAGTACATCGCCTTCATTGTCATAATATCCATTAAGCATACTTTACATTTCCCAAGAAAATATTTCTGTCACTATTACATTTTATTTGTAAGCCACTCAAATTACATTTTTTAACTGGGATCTCTTGCTAGTCCATCAATTGAGTTAGCTAGTGCAATTAGGACTGAGGCTATGCAGAAACACAGCTGAGCTAGCTATTCCCTGATGGCTGTGATTTCACATGTAATACTAAACACAATTACTTTATCTCACGGCCATGTTATTTTGTGACCTCCCTTAATTTAAGCTGCAATACATAGAGGTTCCTAGATGCTGTCATGTAGTGTCATTACCAATAGGAGTGGGCTTTGTTGGTCTCTGGTTTGGACTGTAGTCCATGGGAAAAGATACATAAGGAAAGACTGAAATCAGACACTCTGCAATGGATTCTGGTAAATCAACACCATCATTAAAATCTTAGTTTAAATTAACAGTAAGATAGGAAACTGCATTAAATCAAATCAGTTCATCACTCCATTCTGGACACTCTGGCAGACACTAGCTCCTCAAGGTCTTACATGTCATCTACAGTATTAATTAATAATTTTAATTCATGAAGACAAGACATTCTTCATGCAGGTCATGAGTTTAATTTATTCTGATTCTTCTAAGGTTTTAGGATGAATGGTTGCATAGAACTTCAATCTAACTAAAATTAGGAACTAACCTAATACTTAGTAAACTGAAAGAGTCCACTATTCTACCCAGTCAGATAGGGTGGGTGTACTTCAGGTCATTCCCTTAAATGTTGTCATTTAATAGCACCCAGAAATATTCTGTATAGCTGTTTCTCCCTCATGGAGTAATGTTCCCCTTATGATCTGGCAGGCCTCCATGTTCCTAGCCTTTGAGAAGCCTTAAAGAGCTAGGTCAAGTTTTGAGTAGGGTGAGGTTGGGGTGCAGTGGAATCAAAGTGGATGGTGGAGTGTTTACTTTTGGGGACCTTTTGTTACAGTTTTATGGTTTTTATGTTTTTATTGTTATTTTCTGAGCTGCCCAAGATTATGGCATATAAAATGGGTGGCCCATATAAGTCTTTTAAATAAACAAATACACTGATGTGATGGAATGTTAGCAGGACCATAGCTACTGAGGAAATCAAAAAGAAACTATCAACCTACTTCATGAAGTGTCATTTTGAAATACAGGAAGTCCTTAAAAATACTTCAAAAGCGTGGTTTCTTTTTGCCACCTTTGTTGGTGAAAATTAATTTTATTAAAAGGAAAGAGCCACCATTCTAGTTCAAAAATACCAATACATTATAGTTTCATTTTAACAAATCAAAGAGGATGAGAAATGAGATTATCTTGGAAATATAAGTCATTTCATAAGATAAGGAAAATTTTTATTATTTTTAATTTATTAAATTTATATTGTTATTTTCCCAATCAAGCTCTGTTCCATCCTAAAATTCATGTCAAAATGGCAATTTTAATTAACCAATTTAGCACAATTGTTACTCAGTTACATCAATATCATTATGCATATTCTGGTTATTCACAGTTTGAAAATGTTGACCAGATTGTGGTATTTCTAGCACAAAGTTTCACTTAATCAATGATTCCAGGTATGTTTTGGCGTATTTTATAAATATACAAACTGGCAGATGAGTTTCTGTGAATACATAAAAATGTTTTTTTCAGGCCTTGATACCCGTTATGTCATTGTTGACATTGTTTAGTTGGACCAAAACCATGGATAACAAGAGTGATGAATAATAAGAGTGATGAAAAATAAGTATGATGATCAAACTGAGTTATTATAACTAAGTTAGCAGCAGGTGACCACAAACTTATTCTGACAAACAGTTTTTTATTTGTTTGATTTTAAATAACAATTTTACATCAAATATCAGATAGCCAGATAATACATACCTTTTTTTAATGATTTTGAAATGGTTTGGTGAAGAAATAACTTGGGCTGAAGGAAGTAAATTGGAGAAACATTCTTGCTCAGTGTGAATCTTCTTAGTCTCTCTGTTTTCATCCTGATTTTCATACTAATGGAAAACAACACCTCATATGCATGGTATTTTGGTATAAAATTATAGAAACCTTGTAGAATTTGTATTTTACAAGTTTGGTAATTAACACTGAAATTAACTATTATTTTATGTTAATTGTGTTAACTTATGTTAACTAATTAACTAATTTTCTGATGTATACCAAATCTTTTAGCTCAATAGTTGAAGCTAACAGGGGCACCTGTAGAGGAAGATTAAAAACAGTCAAGATGGCAGTTTACATGCATTGCACATAAAAAAGCAGTAAGATTTCAATTGCATAGTTGGACTGCTCTCTTGACTTTCTGATAACCCCTTTGCCCTAGAGGCAAATGGCACATGGTTATGGGGCTTTCAAGATAGAGGTCCCAGTCCAGATAATGAAGAAAACTACAAAGAAAAGGAACTTGTATTTTCCCTCTTGGTTTAACAAGCCACTTGTGGTCTATTCCAAAGCAGTGAGGCCTTAGTGAAAGTGGATTGTAGAAGATTGTTTTTTTTCACTCCATTAAGATTCTAGGTAAGGTCCATTCAAACTTTGTGATCTTAGTGAACTATCATGTACACAAGCTTATAAACATATTATTGCAATTCTATCCCTGGTCCATGCTTCCAGCAAGGAGAGACTTGCCTACATATCCCAGTGTATCATCTCACTTTTTCCACCTGGGAACAAAGAAATAACTGGTGTCATTATTCACATTAATATGCCCTACCATTAGCTGCTGTTGTCTGCAGCTGGGTGCAGAAAGCATAGGAGCAACAGCTGCTATCAAATGACACAGCCAGACAGCCATGCACTGGTCCTTAAGCCAGCAGAAAAGGATGCCAACATAAAAACTATTGCCAAGCCCTCTTCTGCTTTAGTATCAAGGCTGACAAATGATGCTATCCTTACAGTTTTAACGTAGGACAAGTTAAGGATAGTGATGGATAGATTTCTTTAGCTTCATTTCTCCCACTAGCAAGTGTCACCTGCAGGAAGGAAAAATTATCACCAATTGCTCTCCTGAACATGAGGTGCACAGGGGCTTGGAGAAGAAGTGACTTGTGATAGATGGCTAGATTTAAGGGCTTAGCCATCTGTCAAAACCTGCTACTTTTCATGGAGCACAGGACAGTACTTTACTGTGTTTGTCTGGCTATGTCTGCAGTTCTTAACATTTTTATTTTCAAGCTATTAATCATGCAGATGAAATTCTTATTTGCCTGAATGAAATTTAATTAGCAGAGCAAAGCTGGGATCCTCACTTCACTAAGATATTTTCTCTTAAAATACTGGGTCAATTTAACAAACTTTAGACGAGTCACTGTTTCTCACCAGCCTTAGCTCCTATTATGTCTTCTAATTTACAACACTCTATGACAGTGGCGGCGAACCTATGGCACCCATGCCAGAGGCAAGCATGCCGCCGCTGCCAGCAGCTCGCACAGGTCCATTAGGCCGCCACTGCTGCCCGGAGCAGCAGCCTCACCTAGCATAAAGGAGGTGAAGCGGCCGGCTAGCAAGCTCGAGTAGAAGTGGTAGAGCACACCCACGCCCAGCAAGCCAAAAGCCACCCCAAGCGGGGAAAGTCAGATTCCCATTGGCACCATGGCCCCCAGTCCCAGCTAAAATTGCGTGCCCCCCATCTCTGCTGAGTCTGGGCAGCCAGCCACCCAGCAGAGATGGGGGGAGGTACACAATCCTAGATGGGATTGGGGGGGGCATGGCACTGATGGGAATCTGGCCTTACCCGTTCAGGGTGGCCTTTGGCTTGCTGGGTGTTGGTGTGCTCTATCACCTCTACTCGAGCTTGCTAGCTGGCTGCTTTGCCTCCTTTGTGCTGGGTAGGGCTGCTGCTCCGGGTGGTGGTGGCGGCCTAATGAACCTGCGCAAGCTGCTGGCATAGCAGCCTGAGGTGGGGCCAGGGTGCATCAAATGCACGAGGGGAACAGGCTCCACATGCAGGACAAGGGCAACATCTGCAAGGGGGCCAAGGAGATGACCAGCAGTGACCTACTCTCCAATCGCAAGCAAAAACAGGTGGGATGGAGTAGGCATGTCTGGTGGTCTGCATCACGTGCCTCCCCCCTTCCTGCCTGCTGCTGGAGGGCTGGCCCGGTATTGGAAGTGGGCTGTAGACCACCAGAGTGTGCCGGTCGAGGAGCCGACAGGCTGTGCCTGCTGATGGACACCATTAGCCCCCATGCACTCGCTGGCCTCTGTGTGCAGGAGCCGATGTGTCAGGCTGCAGCCACACCAGCTCCTGCCTCACCTTTCCTTGCTCTGCGGCAATAGCATCCCCACCCTGCCCCCTGTCTCACCCAGCAGGACAAGCCTCCTGCCTACCACCCCACCTGCCAGAGACCTCCTGGATCTCCCTTAACCATGCCCAGCCTCCACAGGTGTCCCCCCCACAAGGAACTTTGAGGTGGCCACACCCACCCCAGCCATGCCCACCCAGTCTGCCGTGACCACCGCGGCCATGCCCACCCAATGGGCCACACTCCCTGAGGGCACCACAATGCTGATGCAGCCCGAGGGGGGCCAAGGTGTGTCAAGAAACATTCTTGCTCAGTGTGAATCTTCTTAGTCTCTCTGTTTTCATCCTGATTTTCATACTAATGGAAAACAACACCTCATATGCATGGTATTTTGGTATAAAATTTTAGAAACCTTGTAGAATTTGTATTTGAATTTGTATCCGAGGGAAACAAACTCCACACGCGGGCCAAGGGCAACATCTGCAAGGGGGCCAAGGAGATGACCAGCAGTGACCTGCTCTCCAATAGCAATCGCCTCTGGCACGCGTGCCATAGGTTCGCCACCACTGCCTAGATGATAGGCTCAAGATCCAGATGAATCTCGACAGACATGAACACTGGGCCCTAGCTACCAAAATGAAATTCAATGTAGAGAAAAGTAGTCTTACACTTAGGCAAGAAAAACCAAAAGTACACATATAGATTAGGTGAAACTTGGCTTAATAGCAGCAACGGTGAGCGAGATCTTAGAGTCCTAGTAGACAATCAATTAAATATGAGCCAACAGTGTGTGATGGCAGCCAAAAAAGCCAATGCAGTTCTAAGTTGCATCAACAGAGTGACTGAATCAAGATCACGTACCAATACCACTCTATAAAGCCTTAGTAAGACCACACCTAGTATACTGCATCCAGTTTTGGTCACTACACTATAAAAAAAATATTGAGACTTCAGAAAGAGTGCAAAGAAGAGCTACAAAGATGATTAGGGGACTGGAGGCTAAAACATATGAAGAATGGTTGCAAGAAACGGTATAGGGTCTCCTGCTTGAGCAGGGCACTGGACTAGATGTCCTCCAAGGTCCCTTCCAACTCTATTATTCTGTATAGCTTCTGTAAGCTGTTCTGTCCTATTGTTTTAATATCCACACATAAATACAAAGATATTTCTTTGCACACACATCTGTATAGGAGTTAAGAAATTTAGTTTTCAAATTATGTGTGTCTGAGATTCAGAGGTGTTCATAGAATCCAATGAGTTTCACGAATGAAGGTGAATATACGTATCCCAGGTTAATGTTGCAGGATCCAATCTGGGTCAGTTGCCAGGACCAGAGGTTTGTCTTCCGAGCTTTTGGACTCATGCTGGAGTCCATCTTCGGGGAGCTTCCCTCTAGTCTCTCTTTAGGTTAGAGAGAAGATCCCTGAGGATGGAGGCTCCAGTACGAGTCTGAAAGTTCAAAAGACAAAATCTCTGGTCCCGGCGACTGACCCAGACTGGATCCTCCAATGATTTTGTTTAATGATGGATGTTGTGACAGTGTGAGGTAGGGTTCTCCCTGTTTGTACATGCTTGCTTATATGGTGTATATAAAAAAGGACACTTATTTTGTCATTTTCCCTTCCTGTATGACCTACCAGGGCTCCGTGTAAATAGAAATCTTTTTATTTCTCCATGTGGAGAGAAGACGAGTGGCGCTGGAATAATTATACAACAATGGACAATAATATGTAAAGAGAGTTCAGAATTGGACCAAGTGAATTCCTATCACTGGTTTAAATCAGTCAGGATCTATGAATAGCTGGAATTATCCTCTTCTACTTTTGATACACGAACACCATTATTCCTCCCCAAAATGAGAACGGATGGTAAAGGAACAGTGGTAAAATAATGTTATTTACCTGAAAAGATATTAGCATCTCTGTCTAAACGCAGATGATGCAGAAAAATACCCTGCCCTCCAAAATCCATGAAATGCTTATCATTTACTGAAGTCCTTTCAGTCCCTACAATCTTTCCTCTCTTAATCTCAAACATCCTTTGAATGATATGTAAGAATTTTTATTTTAATTCCTTTACTTTTCTCCCCTTTAATAAATATGTTTTATCTTATTTTAATTTACTGCTGTATCCTTGTAGTTTAATATTTTTACAGTAAGCAATTCTGAGATGTGATATCATAGAACATGGTACAGAAATTTATTACATAAATAAAAATACATAAGTTCAAAAACCAGTAATGCTAGGGTAAATAAAAATATAATCATGTTCCCAGTGATTACAATCAAGAAATCACTTATGTTTTTCAAACTGGTCGCATGTTATATTGTCAGTCTTAAAAACCATTTGTGAGGGAAGAACTCTATCTCAAAGAAATAAGACAACAGCGATATTGTAAGCAGAAAAATTACAGATTTTATGTCAAGCATCACATCTTTTTCTCAGATGGTCAAGTGTCTGTAGTTGATCTTTTGGCTTTTAGGAATTGTAAACCTTAACAGTACAGAAAGCTACAAGGACTGATAAATGCACATTTAAGATTATGCAGACTTAACCCAAATTTCAAACCATGCCTGGTCTGGCTCCATTCTCTTTAACTCTGGATTCAGTTGAGGTAGTGGCATCTGCAGGAATGCCAAAAATTTGAGAAGGCAAGCATGGTGTCACAATCAAAGCCTACCCCTTTTGTATATGCATTGTGTCATTTGCACATAGATACAAAAGAGGCAGGGCTTCGGTTGGGATGCTGCACTTCCATCTTGCAGATTTTGAACCCCTCCCAATTTCCATGAATTGAGATAATACAAGAAAAGGTTTGTGTATCTTTGCACCAAAATACCTAACATACATACATATATATCCAGTAGATGCTATTATGGATTCCTTTTCAAGACCAACATATAAAGCCTACCTTTCGTTTTCTTCTGGATTTAGGAACCACTTTTTCCGCTGGCAGGTCAGCAGCAATGTTATGTTGCATTCGTACAGCTTCTTTAACTCCTGTATTCATGATCAGTGGCTCCTCAAGTAATTGCTGAGGGATTCTGGAGAGCAGAGTCAAATCAATTTTGACCCAAAGTGCTTTGACATCATCAGTATCTTTTAGAGGAGACAAAAGCTCATTTCTACCAAAAGGAACCAGTGTGTAGAATTGTTCTTCCAGCTCTTTTGCTATATCATTGCTAGTTCTGGTGTTGATGGAACCAAAGGCACCACAATTATTGTTTGTTTTGTAACCATTATTGCTAGAATTCTTTTGTTTCTGTTCACTTCCAGCTGATGCTGAAGCCGCAGTCTGCAGTTTGGGTGAAGGACACTCCTCTTGTTCAGACTGGGAATCTGTGTCAGATGAAGTTGAAGATGAAGATTCTGTCTCAATAAATTCCTTGGACTTGGGCGCTGTTTTCCCCGAGCCTCTTGTGCGTCTCTTTTCAGAAGCAGTAACAGACTGTGGTTCTTTTTGTTGTTCAATGTTGCTGCTACAAGGCCTAGACTTGGGCTGATTACAAATGTTATTATTTGCCAAATGAATTTGGTTCAAATCAAGATTGTCAGCTGCATGGTTGTTTAAGTTATCACCAGCCAGGCTACTCTCTGTCCTCCTTGGTTGTTTTTTAGATACTGACTTTGTAGCAGCAGAAGGAAGTGGTTTTTGCTTTCCTCCTCTCTGCCCTGGGGCTAAGTTAGCTGTCCTAGATCTCAGTTCCTCTTTACTAAGATTCTTAATATCTTTTTCCTGGAGACTGGCTTGGTCAACAGGAGGTACATTTTCACTGTCTTGCCTTTCTTCTTTTAGTTTGCTGTAATACTGAAAGACCTCCAATCCATTTTGGTTCAAAGCAGAAGCTTTATGAGGATTAACCTTATTTAACCATTTATCCAACTGCCACTTGTTAGGAGATGGCTGTTCAGGCTAGAAAATAAAGTTTAAAACACATGTTACACTCTTTTTGGGTGCCTTCAAATCAGACTCCTGGTGACTGCCTGTACAAGTCCCTATAGTTTTCTTGGCAATATTTCAGAATGCTTTGCCATTGCCTTCTTTCTAGGGCCCATTGTCACCCAGCTGGCTTTGTGCCTAAGGCAGAACTAGAACTTACAGTCTCCCAAGTTCTAGCTTCATGCCTTAACCACTATCCCAAACTGGGTCTCAATATATTATGAAATTCTACTCATCAAAGTTTTAGGAAGCTCCTTATACTGCAGAACTATAGATTCAGTATATGGCCAGCATGTAAAAACTTTGCCATTTTGAAAATGTCATTATTATCGGATAAAAAACAATTAAACTTTCCAAGAATACAAAACATTAGATTTTCTATATAGCTGAATTTACATATTATCTCTCTGTCAGTCAGTACCTTCAGTTCTGCAAGGATTAGATACTTCCCTTCATTTATAATTGCTTACACTTTTCCTGTCTACATGAACATTACATGAATTGCTGGAAGCCCAAAGCAAAGATTATCTCTGCCTTCCACTAATGGGGATGACATAGTTGTACTGGGCTGCCCATTGGCCTTTTCATTCTTGGATGCATTGTGTGTGACTGGCCTGATGCAGTCCTTCTAATCTAGATCTAGACAGGCACAATGTAACTGCAGACTCTGACACTGCCAGCAGGGAGCCTGATTTCCATAGTTCCCAGTGCTTAAAAAATTAAACAGGATAAGCCCGTGGTGGTGAACCTATGGCACGTGTGCCACAGGTGGCATGCAGAGCCCTCTCTGTGGGCTCACGCGCCGTTGCCTCAGTCCTAGGCCTTCAGCTAGGCTTTATAAAACCTTTTTGCCGTGTGCAAAAAAAAAAAAAGGTTCAATCAATCAATTTCAACTTCTCACGGGGAAAAAAAAGATTTTGCAAAGTTGGAATTGATTGATTGAACTTTTTAGTCCCACCCAGTCTGCCGCTACCACCGCAGCCATGCCCACCCAATTGGCCACACCCAGCCAATGGGCCACGCCCACCCAGCACCCAATGATACATAAGTGGGCTTTGGATTGCAGTTTGGGCACTTGGTCTCTAAAAGGTTTGCCATTATTGGGATAAGCTGTAGTGCACCTGCAATATGGCAACGGAATAGCAACAGATTAAAGTATTGAAATGTTGCTAGAAATGGATTATGGACACACTTGCAATGCATTTTTATGACATACTTGAAGATTTTAAACATCTTATTATGCCTTTTACAGCTGCCTTCTGATTTAAAGTTAGGTTACAGAAATAAATAACAAGTAAAGTAACAATAAGCAGTTCACATAAAACAAAAACTATTCAGGTTGAACCAAGGATGATTATGGGCCTATTTTTATTTTGACTAAATCTGGATTCTACTCTAAGAGTTAAAATATTAACTATGTTAAAATATTTTTGAAAACTTAAATTTAATGCTCAGGAATATATATTTGAAGAGTGTTTTCTAAATAATATGGATGAATAAATAACATCTACACAGCAAAATACATAGCTGCAATGAAATGATTCAGATTGTTGTTTAAATCTTCTGTAGGTAGGAGAGGAATTATCCAATGATTTCCCAATACTAGTGAAAGGTATTATTCAATACTTCTACCTCCTCCTGTCTGTTGATTAAAGGAGGGAACTATAATTAGTTTTATTTGAGGCACTGGAATGTCCATAAGTCTCTTTGCAATGCAATGCTTTGCAATGCCTGCATCTTCATACATAGACACTTATATATATACACACACACACACACACACACACACACACACACACACACATTTTATGTATAGGTATAGGTATATGCATATGCATAGACAATGGCTAAAATGATAATGACAATGATGATGATGATGTATATGTATATGCATCATCGTTTTAGCCATTGTCTATCCCCTGCACGATGAAGACCTCTTCCCCTATTTCCAACTGATACGGTCCTGAGCTTTACTTTGCCAGTTGGGCCTACAATACTTGCTGATGTCATTGATCCATCTTGTTTTAAGTCTCTTTCGTGGATGCTTTTTATCAAGTGGGATCCATTCTATGACTACCTTGGTCCACCTGCCATCAGTTCTTCTTGCTATGTGTCCAGCCCATTGTATATGTATATGTGTATGTGTATATGCATATGTATACACATATACACATAAACTGTGTGTGTGCGTGTGTGCGTGTGCCTTCTCATCTATCTTAGCTGGGCATCAATGTCAGAAATCTATCAACGTTTTAATGAACTTAAAAAGTTCTCATTTATATCAAGCTTTGCACAATAGTTTTTTTGCTTTTTTAAAAAGCCTTACGGGGACTGGAAAGACTAATTTCAATATAAATCTTTTTTTCTTGCATAAAATGTCATCCTGTGCTGCATCTAACAGCATTTTCATATTTATAAACATATCATATTAAAGCTCTCTTGTCCCAGACATATTATTGGTATAAAAGTTTCACTGGTTTAGAAATTAAGATTAGATTTTAACTCATTACCTCTGGGCTGGAATAATGTGATTGCTTGTTGCAGTTGCTTTCTGTGGAACTGCTTTCAGTCTCTGAATCAGATTCGGAACTGCTCTCCGATTCACTTGAACTGCTGCTTGAACCCTTGTTAGAGACACCCAAAATTCTATAACTGGACTGCTGGTTAGCAGGGCTGCTGCTGAACCCATATTCAGAGATGGGAGGGAGAGAGAGAGAACAGTATAAAATACAAATTAAACATTTTGTTTTTTAAAAATCCTTTTTTTTATTAATAAACTCAAGTGTGGACTTTAGTTTGGGAGGAAAAACTTCAAATTTCATAGGAAAATAAGTGAGAAATAGAGGCATATTTATGGAATGTAACAGGTTTCCTCCCATTCCACCCCAAACTTCAAAATAAACTCACTGAAGCTGCTCAATATTCAAGGTATGCCAGTTGGAAAACTGAAGGAGAAAACTTGTGATAGGTGTGTATGGAAAGCTCTGCTTAAATAAAATGGTTGCCTGGATTTATGAACAAAAGCATTGAAATTTTACCCTGTAAAATATTGTTGCAAGCCCCAATTCCATGGTCCTTTTTATATAATTATCACAACTATATATGTAAAAAGAAAGAAAAGGTATAATTATTTACCACAACATATAACATTTACTGACTTCATTATAATATTGTTTACCTTGAAGAGGGCTCATTTATTTTGAATTCATAATATTTCTTGTACAAATTGTTCTATGATAAATGTTGGCAAATTATGCCACGGAGAAGAACTAATACTAAAGAGAAATTAGCTGTGGAACCTTTGCTTAAATTAAAACACAAACTATGCAAAACCTGAAAATGAAATGTCTTATTGTTGGAGCAAACTCATGGTTTTGGTAGTAGGCTCTTGCTATGTGCTGGGTGAAATTATAAAAAGTCCTGATACCGATTGGGTTGTATCTCGTTCTCCAAATTCAGCAACTGATCAAAACCAGAATATGGGACACAATGAACTAAGTTTAAATAAAACATTACTCTCTGTCTTTCTGCCTGGTGCATAGTTCCCAGGAGGCCCTGTAAAATGTCTCCCCCTCAAAATAATAGAATCCAATTTAGAACTTCAGGAAAACTGACCTGGAATATACAACTGCTAATTAAATAGCCAGATTGTAAAACAAATAAAAGGGTTTAAATATTTGGGCATGGTCTTTCATCATTCCACTAAATGCTCATTAATGACGTCATTTACAATGCATGCAAAATAGTGGTGGCTACAGTATACAGTCCTTCCCCATAACAGAATATCCCAATTGCAATAAAGTTTTATTGGGCAATAACACCATGTAATTTTTTTGATGCTCAGCTGGGACCTTATGGTCCCATTGAAAAGGGCCCAATCCTGTGAAAAAATGAACTCCCAGCAACAATAAAGTGTTAAGTAAAATATCAGCATATCCCCTTTCTATCAGCATTTCCCAGAGTTGAGGTCCAGACATCTTAAAATTCACAAGATTGAGAAAGACTGATCCAGAATACTGGAAAGAGTTAGCAAAAATGGAAACCTTATAATCAGGTTGATAGACACGGGGAGTTGAAGAAACCTAGTGCACCGTTAATCTAGGATAAATGCCCTCAATGATTTGTAAAATATTCTTGGTCCACTTATCACCAGATAGGATGCTATGGCTCTGTTTAAAATGGCTCTAGGTTTTTTAATGTAGTATTGGGAAAAAGGCAGGGTTGACTAACACTGAAACTGGTGCATGGATTTGTGTTATAACATACTGTTCTTTTCAGAAGGTCGGGGGTTCTTTTCTCCTTGCAGACAATTATGAATCAATATGAAATGAGATAATTCTGCAAAAACTATTTAGTACTATGGTTTTTCCAGCGAGGCACTTTAACAATGTGCTGTGATCGAGCACTCGTTATACCTGAGATCTAGAAGCTCAACTGGATCAATAGTCAGGAATGTTTTCCTGAGTGTTCATGTCCCTTTCCTCAGGCCAGAAAGATATCTAAAACACACGGAATATGGTGGTTCTTGAGGGCAGAAACAAACCGTTTCCATGAGAACAAATGTTGTGCCTCTGGTAAGTCTACCAAAACCACTGTCCATGCCCTACTATACTGTGCAGGTACCCATTTTATCACTCACCAATTTATAAGGTAGCCAGAAAGCATTGCTTTATTCCATGTACTATTATTATTATCTGACCAAGAAGTTTCTATTTCTATGAATGTGGCCACATTTCGTTACAGAAATGGTTGATTGCATTAAGGAAGAACTCAGGAAGTTTTCTATTTTGTTCCATCTGCTGCTGATTGTTGTATTCTGATCAATGACCATAATAAAAACATATATGTACTGTATGAAAAACTCCATATAACTGAAGTCCAAATTCTAAATGGAGACATTGATGGTCTATATAAACATAAAACTCTTTCATGCTGGAATTGATTTGCATGTGCCACTGTTACTAAGTTGTATGCTACTTTATTTTCTTTGGATTAGAAGGTTGATGTCAACAAGACCTAGATGAAAATCTTGAAAGATTTTCTGTCTGCCCTATCTTGTTCTTTTCCTAATGATCCCTAGTGTGAAATATATGTGAAGTTTTCACAGAATACACCAGAATAACAGAATAACAGAGTTGGAAGCGACTTTGGAGAGCTTCTAGTCCAGGGTGTCAAATTGCCAGTGTCATACAGAGGCCATGCCCACCCAAGCTCTGGCGAGTTTGACACTCATGTTCTAGTCCAACTCCTGCTCAAGCAGGAGATCCTATACCATTTCATTGGTTGTCCAATCTCTTCTTTAAATTCTCCAGTGAGATTGGAGGCAAGCTGTTCCAATGGTTAATTGTTCTCACTGTCAGAAAATTTCCCCTTAGTTCTAGGTTGGTTCTCTCCTTGATTAGTTTCCATCCATTGCTTCTTGTCCTGCCTTCAGGTGCTTTAGAGGCAGGTTGACCCCCTCTTTTTTGTAGCAGCCTCTTAGATATTGGAACACTTCTATCATGCTACCCCTAGTCCTTTCTTTTCACTAGACTAGACATACCCAATTCCTGCAACCGTTTTTCATATATTTTAGCCTTCTCTTTCTACAATCTCAACATCTTTTTTATATCGTGGCGACTTTTTTGGCAGCTGCAGCACACTGCTGGCTGATATTTAAGTGATCCAAGATCCCTCTCACAGTTACTGCTATTGAGCCTATTCTGTACCCTTAAATTTAGTTTTTCTTGTTTACTTTTCTCACTATTGAATTTCATTTTGTTAGATAGGGCCCAGTGTTTCAAGTCTGGATCTTGAGCCTATTTTCTGGGCTATTCAAGAGATTCACTTGACACTTATTTTAGCAAAGCCACATTTGCCACTTAGTTGACCATTCAACCAGTTTACAGTAATCTTTAAGTAGTTCTTCAAAATCATTTCTTTTTATTTTACTATCATGAGTAGTCTGGTATAATCTGAAACATAGTCAGTTCAGCTCTTACCTCCAAGACAATTACAAACAAGTTAAAAGTCATCTTGAACCATGAGATGGGCAGTAACCAGGAATCAGTAATCCATAGAATCTCCATCATAGTGGAATTCTAATTCAGTTGTTTTAATCATTACTGCATTCTAGCACCAGTTCAGATATATACACAGTTTGTAGAGAAAATCTATCTATATAATCACCAAGAGTCAACACTAACCTGAAGGTACATAATCAATCAATCAATCAATTTAACTAAACATATTTTATTTTTTGTCCAAATCCCAGTGGCATTACCTGCACTGAAATAGAACTGAAGGTCACCAGCATACTTTTTTTTTTGTTTAAACCATCCAATTACTTAAACAATCATTATGTGTTTTTTTCTTGCTTCCAGATGGATGTACAATTGTTATTTTTTCCCACCAAACTGTGTTTCAATTTATTATTGCTTGTTTTATTTTTACACATTGCTGCCACAATTATTTTCAGTTCCTCTGAAGTATAAAATTTCTACTAGCTTTTCCTCTTGAAAAACAAAGGCTGTTATCAAGTTGTGGTTGACCTCACTTCAATCCCTGAACTCAGTGGTCCAATCCTGTTAATAAATTCTGTAAGTAAGGTTTCTCTAATTGGCCTTGTATTTTTGCCTCACTGTACTTTTTGACACTGTGGTAGTGGCAAATCTGCATTTTTCTCCATATCATCTTTGTTTTATCTGTCAGAGATAAGATCAATCTCCACCCAGAACATTTTACAAACTTAAGCCTAGAACTCCAGTAAAATAAAATGCAGTTGTAATTCTGTTCTTAAATTTATCAGCAGCCAGCATTTTCTCAAGGCAGTAGATATACCAGTAGTACCGTAGTATCTTTTTCTTCTTCACAGGAAATGCCAAAGCAAGAATGAATTGTTCTCTTATGGTAGGTCCGTGTGATTCTGGCAGCAGTGCAGCTTAATTTAAGAACAACTGCTTTAATTTCCAGTTGCTTTAGCTGAAAATAAGATTACTATTTTGCTTGGGAGCACCCTGAACAATATAGCTTGTCAGGTTCCTTTCAGAAGAATGCTCTTGAATTTTAATAGCTAGAGGTTGTAAGAGCTTGAAGCAATGGTTTCAGTAGAAAACTTTTCAATCACAATGGTATGAAAACCTACCCATGTCAAAATTGTCATTAAAGATAAGGAAATTCTCATCTTTAGGGAACCTGACAGTCCTATCTAAACCTGAGAGTTAAATAGTACTGTTCCTTGTTAATTTTGCTGAGCATCTTTTGAAATGAAAGATTAAGCAACTCTATTTTCTACCTTACTGATGATACAATTCATCTACTGAAATCATGAAAATTCTGAAGACTGTTTTAGTTTTTTATACTAATTCATGAATTTAATGCCCTATGAAACCTTTGATTAGCTGGCAAATAAAAATGTAAAAAATAAAACACCAGGGACTTTCCAACATGTAATACTATGGAAATGCTTAAAGTTAAAGATTAATGTATGGCCATCATCAGAGTGGCTATTAAGCAGTGGGAAAAAGGATTCTGTAACTATATTGTCACCAGAGAAAAGTCACAGGAACCAAGAAAGGACATTTTAAGGATATATGAAGATTTTATGAGAAAAAGTTCTCCATTTTTGCTGAACCCAAAAAAAGAAGCCCTGACTGCTAAGAATAAGCTCAGCTCCCTGACTACACCTGTATCTTGACTTT